GCACAGGTAACTAAGAAGTCTCTCTGAGCTTTTAAATAACAGGACAGTTTCCCTTAAAACTGGCTTCTTTGAATGAATAAGGTATAACTGATTTTTCAAAAACCAAGATCAAGAGGCTGGCTGTGCTACCTACCTCTGAGAGATCCCCATTTTTCACATGAATCCTGGCCATGCTGTCGAGCCACGTCTTCCTGAGCTCGGGGGTGCTGGCGTAGGACTTGGCCAGGCTGTACTGGAGGTCCACTAGCATCTCTGGGTCATTCTCATGTTCCTTCATCTGGGCTGTGGCCATGAGGACTGTGCGGATCCTCTTGGTCAAATCTTTCACTTCGGACGAGAAGCTGGTGTGCTAAATCGAACGGGAGAAGGAAAGACACGTAGATTTCATCCACTTCCTGCTGACCACATGCACATCAGATAATGAGGCAGAGTCTTGACGGTGAAAGCTAAAAGGGGGTTAGGCTACCCACCTTGATGAGCCGGTCACTGTTGGCACAGTTGTTAATGATAGACAACGACTGCTGGAATCTGGTTCCCCCAATGCCGACAACATCTGCAATCAGCTGGCTGACAGAAATGATGACCTTAGGGACACAGAAACATGAACGAATCAACTCACTTTCAGATGATCACCTGGGCTCTGCTTCTGTCTTCAGTTACAGTGTGTAAGAGACCAGGGCAAAGTTGGGAGGTTTGGGGCAGGGTTCACTCTAGTATGGGAAACAATGTCTGAATCTCTTTCTCACTTTCTAAAATGGTCCTCAAAGCCTCACATGTTTAGAAGGTGATTGACTTATGGAGTGACTTGCTCTTAGGAGGTGGGGACTGGTTGGAAGAGGCAGGTTATGGTGGCTGTGACCTGGAAGGGTGTAACCCCCTTCCCAGCTCCTTCCTTCACTCTCTGGTTCCTGGCTGCTATGCCATGAGCAGCTTTCCTCTGTCCAGGGCCTTCTACTGAACATGCAAGGAATGAAACTTCAAAACAAACCTCTCCTCTTTTAAGTTATGAGTGTCAGCTATTTTGTCCCAGCAATGAAGAAAGTGACTAAGACCTATGTAACGGGGAACCTGACTGTTTTTGGACCTATGACTAGCACCTCCTTGACCCAGATGCTTAAGCTCAAACATGGGGCCACATTTACTTCTTCCTTTTCCTTTACCACAGCCAGCTACCACTAATCAAATCACTAAGTATTGCCAGCTTAATCCTCTCTTCCTTCCAATATTACCATCCCTCCTCCAGCCACTCCTGACATAATCCTCTTTGTTCTAGATCTGACAATGGCCTCCCTAGGTGAGGTCCCAACTCCTAGGATCTACTCCTTCCACTGGAGTCCAAGAGATTCCTCCAAATACATCAAGATTTGGATACATAACAGTGTGCTCTCGACTTGTCACCCATATTCTAAACTCCACACTAAGCAGCCAGACTCAGATGGGTAATTCCTATAGTGCATCCATGGCCTGCTACTCTTCAACTGCTATCCTCTATCCATCCTTCACATCCTCTAGGAAGCCATGCCTGATCCCCAGCCAGATGCTCCTCCTGATGCACTCAAGTTCCTGCAGGGGAGCACTAGCTACTCTATGCTACAAGGACAGACTGTATGCTCCATAGTCCAGGAGTGGGTTCTGTTCTGTTCAGGGATGTGTCATGAATCCTAGCATGTGGTTTGTGACAGTGAAATAAGGAATAAATGCAGAGCTGGAGAAAGAAACAGTATTATGTATTCATTGATAAAGTGTCTACAAAAATACATAAGACTCAGACTGGGGATTTAGCTCAGCGGTTCTGTCGCCTTCCTCCCAAGTGCAAGGTCCTGAGTTTGATCCCCGGTACCCAAACAAAACAAAAGACTCATCATTATCATGTCTAGTTCTCAGAACAGAGAATTTAGGATGTTTTATCCCTGGAGAAACAGCAGATGTTTGTAAATACAAGACAGAAAGAAACACTCTGGGCTTTCTGTTTCTTACCTAAAATGTTTACTATGAAGCATCCTCACATAGGATGTGTCAGTAATACCTCAGCTCACAAACATTTTTGTTTGCAAACAATTTGGTTTGCAAACAGAAGCATTTGGCAAAATTTTGCTTCTGTTTCCAAACTCCGCATTGGGTGATAAACATGACCATGGCCATCTTCCCGGCACAAACACAAATGCAACCATCTTTCCCAAAATCGTAAAACAAATTCAGTTTGGAAACTGAGGTACAACTGTACTTTTTGAGACAATAGAATTTCAGCTAGTTCAATGTTGATACAGTATTTAAATGTCAAGTTACCAA